TAAAAAAAGAAGAATTTTGAGATTCTGGCAGAACATTTTTCAAAGTAAATTATAAAGATTATGATATGTTTTACAAGAAATATACTATTCTATTTCTACTTCAAAATTTGATGTTTAATTCAACTTTCTTGGTAATTATTTGTGCAATTTACTAGCAATGTCTGACTGAAATTTGTAGATCCTACATAAATGTTTTTTTTTGTGTAATAGTTGGTTAAAAAAGTCACTTAAAGTAGATAAAATAACAAAAAATTATTTTTTTAATTAGTGGGACATTATAAATTATACAGACATTTTTGGAGTATGTTTTACAAGAAAATACCTTTTCAGTTTTTCTGCTTCAGTATTGCATGTTTAATTCAATGTGTTACGTGCCGTTTCTTTGTAATTATTTAAAATTTACAAGCAATTTTAATGTAAAAATAGTTTGTACACCAAATTTGTATAATGTCTCAAATCTTGATATTATTATGAATACATATCTCTGCCCATATGTTGTTGTGTAAGCTCTCCTATAAATCCACATACCTGAAAGTTTAGCAGACAGGCATGAATCTCTGGAGATTAGCGCAGAGCGATATAAAATATGCTCCAGACATGATCATCTGAATGTGACTTTCAAAAGTGTAATAGTTGGTTAAAAAAGTCACTTAAAGTAGATAAAATAACAAAAATTATTTTTTTAATTAGTGGGACATTATAAATTATACAGACATTTTTGGAGTATGTTTTACAAGAAAATACCTTTTCAGTTTTTCTGCTTCAGTATTGCATGTTTAATTCAATGTGTTACGTGCCGTTTCTTTGTAATTATTTAAAATTTACAAGCAATTTTAATGTAAAAATAGTTTGTACACCAAATTTGTATAATGTCTCAAATCTTGATATTATTATGAATACATATCTCTGCCCATATGTTGTTGTGTAAGCTCTCCTATAAATCCACATACCTGAAAGTTTAGCAGACAGGCATGAATCTCTGGAGATTAGCGCAGAGCGATATAAAATATGCTCCAGACATGATCATCTGAATGTGACTTTCAAACATTTATGATGCACCGCAACTTATAAAAAGATATAAAAGAGCCTGAAAAAAGGTGGACGGTTTTGAAAGTTGCTATTATAACCCGTATGAAAATATAGCAATAGTGCTTCTGTTGTAATTGTCTCACATTTATTCGCTACAAATTAAATAGTTTTGAAATGTAACTTATGCCTAAACAGTGTGTCGTATACTAAGAGTGCTGTCTTTAAGACGGACACTGCATTTCATTTTAAGCTTTTAAATTCAAAAACATATTTTAAAATAATGAAACGACTCAACCAATGCACAAAAAGATAGATTAACGACTCTAAAATATGAAAGTGTGCTTGTGCATGCTGGTCACTTTCACAATTGTGTCAAATGTCAGCATATGCAGTTTTCTGCAGTCTTTGTGAGTTCAGTAGAATTACAGTACATCGGAGAAGGTTGTTACCCTTCCAGTCTGCGCAGACATGACATTTCTAGGATATTTAACATTTAGGTGAAAGTTCTGAGTAAATCTTATAAATCAAATTAAACAGAATCAAATGCATCAGTTGAGTGAGCATGCAGTATCATGATCGCAAATTATAAAACAGAAGTCAAATGTACATTTTCAACCTCAAACTAGTTTTTAGTCCAGTAAATCCTGTATATTTGTACATCTGCGGTCAGATCAGGAGGGTGGTGGCCATTTATAACAGTGATTTCATCCCTTTAGCTCATTTTCATGTGCTTAAAGTGATCTTGTAGTAAGACAGTTCCTCATACAAATGTAATTATGGTTCCTGTAAAACACACTGGTTTTTCTAATGAAAAAAAGTGGCTTATAAATACATTGTATAAGTATTGCTCACCTAGAATACTCCTCTTAAATATGATTTCACATGGATCTACACTATTCATAATAATACGTTTCGTATTAGTTCATACTTCTAGTCCTACTTAAATTAGCAAAGAAACATCTATATCTATTAAACCCAGTATCCAGAGTATCTGCAAATGAGTAACAAGAGCTACTGATATTCATTATTATATTCATATTCTACTGATATACAGGCGTTGCAAATGAGGAAGAATGTAAATACCGCTCTGTGGAATTATTAATTGAGTCCTAATAAAACAAGAGTCAAACTAGAAACTTGATGTCTGTGGCTAAAAGCTTGATAAAGTTATAGCTAAAAAGAGAGAAAGGTATGTTTAAAAGAACAAGATAGACCCTTCCTCTGAGAACATTTATAAATACTGCCACCTTGTGTTTGAAAATGTGCCTTTAATCGTAGCTCTGCATCACCATCAGCTCTCATTATGACTCGATGTGCAATAATCACACTAAATCCTCACATTAACAGCAAGTAAATGTCATGTTTTATGATTTTGGTACATATCTTACTGCTACTTATTTCAAAACAGAAAAAGACAAGACAAATGCAATAATATAAATGTCAACCTTTCAGATTTCATTCGTCTGCAAGGCCTCAAAGGTGTCGCTGGAATATTTTGTGGGCTGTAATTACTTCTGGCTGTTAGTGGAGGCGATATTCCTGCACACGCTGCTGTTCACCGCAGTTCTGACCAGGAAAAGACTTCTGAAGAAATATATGATTATAGGATGGGGTGCAGCTTTTGTACTACATAAAAATCTTTGAAAATATGTCCTACATTAACATATGACATTAATTCTCCATCTTTATTCAATGAACTCATTCAGGAACTCCATTACTGTTTGTGATTCCCTGGACGGTTGCCAAAGCTTTGTATGAAAATAAAAGGTAAGTGTCTGTTTTACTACTGTTGACACTTTAAAAAGAAGTTGTGCATAAAAACATTTGTGTGAGGAGGCATTTTATGGTGGAATAAATGTTTTTTATTTTTGCTTTTTATCCACTGAAAAAAATGGTGTAGGGATATTTTCAGAAATTGCGATAAAATTTCACAAATAATTATATATTTTTTAATAGTAAATATTAATTTGAATCTAAAGTTGTGCAAGACTGAAATAGTATTTTGTTGTTGTTGTTAAATGTACTCCAATAATCTTCAAAACACATTTTTACAGTGTTCTTATATATATATAAAACCAAACACAAGGGTTAATATTATATAATGGCATTATATTTCTTAATAAATAATTGTAACCACAGTTAAAACAAATTTGGTAACACTTAAATCCTTTATGCATAATGCATTATGAATAACGTACATTATAATGCATTATATCTTTTCATAAATAATTGTAACTAAAGTTAAAATGCGTTCAATTATTTGCAGGTTCCTTACATTGAAATTAGTGGTTTGTTGAGTGTTTTAATGAAATATACTTTCTAAAGATGTAACGATGAATAGATAAGTATCATAATGTATTGTAAATGTGGTTACAATTATTCATGAGATCATACAGTGTATTATAAGGTGCATTACAAGGCATAAATGCATTAAAACTACTTTTATAATGCATTATATATAAAGGCTTTAAATAAAGTGTTGCCTTAAATGCATATGCTCATCTGTTCATGGTTAAACATACATAGTACAATGCATGTTTTCTGTTTCTAAAGCTGTTGGTTAAATAACATCACATGGATCTGGTGGATAATCAGAGGCCCGTTAACATTATCAGTGATTGTGAGTATGATGCCTTATGAATTTCTATTTAAATGGCTTGAGTTCCTCTTCTTTTGTTGGCATATATTCAGTTTGACGACTGTGGAGAGCAGGGTTCGCTGGTTTACATCTGTTCTGCTGTCATGCTATAATGCTGATTTCACTGTAGTTTCTGGCACATTGAGGTGAAGCGTCTCGTGCTGGTCATAATAACAGTTACAGTGGATCAGATCAGTCGTGCTGCATCCAAATGTGTTTGAACCCTTCAGTGGTTAATAAATGTACATGTACAATCAAATAAATCATTTTCTAATAAATGTCAGTGTATATAAATCAATGTTGCTGCAATATAGAGTGTTAAAAATAATAAAATCAAACTTCATTAACATTAACTTGCATGTAAAATCACAAATCATTTTGTAATACATTTCAGTAAAATTAAAAAAATTGATAAAATATAGAGTATTAATAAAAAATAATAAAATCAAAACTTCATTAATACTCAGTCCTGCTCACAAAAACCTAGGTGTAGTGGGTGATAAATGTGCATATAAATTCAAATAAATAATCAAAATCACTTTTGGAAAAAAAAAAGTATTAATAAAAATAATAGCATTAAAATTTCATTAACACTCAACCCTGCTCCAGAAAAAAAAAGAAATGAGGCGGATGAGCAGTTGATAAACGTACATGTAAAATCAAATAAATTAATTTGTAATCAATTTAAAAGAAATTAAATCAGTCTTGCTACAATATAGAGTATTAAATACAAATAATACACATAAACTTTAGTTAGCACTCAATCCTGCTCAAAAAAATACAAATAAAATAAAATAATAAAGTAAAATAAAATAAAATAAAAATACTGAGATGGACCAATTCACCAATAAAAATAATAGGACCAAATTATGGATAAAATTAAACAAAAATAATACAAATAAAACTTAGTTAACACTCAATCCTGCTCGGGGAAAAAATGGACCAATGGTTGATAAAAACATATTAAATCAAATAAATAATTGTCAGTAAAATTAAATACACTTTGCTGCAATATTAAAGTAAAAATAATAAACTCAAAGCTTCATTAACACACAATCCAGCTAAAAAAAAAAAAAAAAGAAATAAATCATACAAAAGTAAAACTGTTGATATAATCATGCACTCACGTGTCGATCTGTCTTTCAGGTCATTTTTTGCATTTTTCTCAAAATCATCAGACTTTTGCTGTCTAAGCTGAAGGCTGAGCAGGTGAAGTTCACTGACTACAGGTACAGGTCAGTCACTGCTTATCTCAAACACGTGAGAAGTGCTGGTGACAAGACTCGTTTGACACGGCTTGCATGTGTCTCTCAGTTTAGCCAGAGCCACGCTTGTGTTGATTCCTCTGCTCGGGGTCCACGAGATCGTCTTCACTTTAATTATAGATGAATCGGTCGAGGGAAGCAACCGCTACGCCCGAAACGTCGTCCATCTGACCCTGAGCTCTTTCCAGGTGACAAACCTGCTTGTATTTCCCTTGCCCTTTTCCCTTGATGTTCTCTTAGAAATGTGACATTTTTCAAAACTGAAATAGTGTTTCTTGTAAAATGTACTCCAATGATCTTTACTTAATGTACAACTTTGAAACATTTTTTTAGAGTTTTTTTTTTTGCCTCACCAAATCCTCTAACTGTGAGCTTTTTTTGCTCAACAGGGTCTTTTAGTTGCAGTGCTGTACTGCTTTGCAAATGGAGAGGTACGTTTGGTGACGACATCTGAACTTTAACCCTCATAATGCATTTACAATCTCTATACTTTTTTCTCATTCCGGGTCCGTTTGGACCTCACCTGAAGAATTATTTTATAAAACAGTCATAACTTTCACATAAAACCTTATTGTATATGATCTGCAGCTTCTCATTAATGAGTGAATGTGAAAAATATTCATCTTACCATGTTTTTACTATACTATTACTGCATTTAACTATTTTTTAGTCATAAGAAAAGTGAGAAATTTCAAATTCCACATGAACCACGCCAAAAATTGATGCAAAATGTTTTTTAGGTTTTTTTTCCAATATTGATGAGAAATTTGATTTGAATATATCATTGTATGGAATTTATAAGATCATATAATCTGAGAATTACCGGAATTAACCCCATTTGAACAAATAGAAATTAATTAAGTTCTGTTGAATTTCTAACTCATGATTGCTCAAATACAGTCCAAATTTATGAAACCTACATATTTATTTCTAATAAAACAACATAACAAAACAACATTAATCTGAAAAGTTTTCAAACAAAATCAATTCATTTTACTTGCATAAACGTTCACTTTCATATGAAAACAACCAGCAATTTTTCATGCTGCAGTGGTTTATTAATATACGAACATATTCATGCTCATCAATAAAATGCAGTCCAAATGTGTGTGAGATATAGAGAAAAGCTAAAGATACTTTACAAACGTTTTTGACACTAATACAGCTTCATATATAATTTTACATAAAATATTTTTGACACTAATGGTTCTCCATACAAACCCGGGTCAAAAATGACCCGAACAAGAAACGCGTAACACTTTTATTTCATAAATGGTTATATGTGTCTTCAAAAACAATTGTAAACGATCTGAAAAACAGATGTGTATTTTAAGGGTCTTAAAGCATTTGCAAAGTCTAATTCCATTAAACAATGCATTTTTAATCAATTTGGTTAATGCATCTATTCTGGGTCAAAACAGACCCCAATGTGTTATGTGTGAGAATGTCTTTCAACATAGACCTAACTTTGGAAACGTGTCCTTTAGGTCCAGGCTGAGCTGAAGAAGAGGTGGCAGCTGTTTCGCCGACATTCACCCCAAACACCTGTGGAAGAGCTCGCAGAAGAGACCTGGACAAACCACAGAGCAGAGCGAATCCAATGAGGAGGGAACACAGGGACATCAGCTGCAGGTGGCCGTCCAATCAGCAGAGGACTTGGTGTGTGGGCGGAGCTCCGGCCTGGAGTTTTACATGAGGAGGAGCCTCTCCAGCAGCGACGGGGAGATGACTTTAGGAGAGACCATGGAGGAGATCACAGAGGAGAGCGAGATTTAATGTCTTCTCACTCCTCATTCTGTCAGCAGCCCCTGCTTCTGATTTATTGTTCTATAACTGCTTTTTGTGTGTGTATATGGTGCAAGGTGTTTGAAAGGAGCTGCACAATCTACGCTTTGAAATGCTCAACTCTGAATTTGAAGTCGCTAATTAAACATTAGTTCACTGAAGACTCAGTTAAAATGACACTGAACTAAACAAGAGTGGTGAAAACAGGGATGGACTGTGATTGAAAACAGCCCAGGGATGATGATGCTCTAATATCATATATTTGAGCAGCTTGATTATGTAGATCAACTGCTTTTGCTTCAGATTTGACTTCAGACATCAGGTGGAGATTCAAAATAGACAAAAGCAGCGGAAATATCTTGAAATTCAGTAATGTTGCCATAGATCCAACGATATGCTAAATTGGTTGATAATATTGTTAAATGCAATTTATTATATGCATTAAGTTTTGTATTTTTTCCTGCATTTTTATGTCAAAATACAGCAGTTTTAACTTACACATTGATTTGCATCTTGATTGTTTGGTGCATCTTGATCATTTTGATGTTTGAAATAATAATTTTTACATTGCAAAAGCAGTGCAATTAAATTAAACAAACAATTAGCAACACCTTTCTCCCTAAACACTGTATGTTTGCTTTGCATCTACATTCGCTCAAGCGGCACGTTGGAAGTTTATGCACGCATGCTAGTAATAATAAAACGCTGCTTCACGAATACTGAAATGAAACGGTTTGCTTGACTAGTGCTTTATTCATGAGCAAATGAGTGTGAAGCAAAGTTGTGGATTATTTACATCATTTGCATGTGGTTTGTCCATAACTCCTTGAATGAACTCGCTCTCTGTTATTTCACCTGATGATACAGAGAAAATGCATTCGTCAAACCTCAATAAAGACTATTCAGTTAAAGGTTTCAATATTGTGTATCTTTGTCAAGAATAAAACTCACCGTTTTCTTTTTTTCCCAAATTGTATCTGTTGGTTTTTCAGGAGTATTCTCGTCATCCGGAAGGATTTTCCGGGCTTCTTTGGAGATCATGTTGAATATTGACTGGGAAGAGGAGCAGAGAGACTATAATGTACCGATGACAGTACATTACAATCAGTGCGAGGTAGTAACGGATTACATGTAATCTGGATTACTCTCTTAAACGTTCCTTCTAAAAGAAAAATCTTCCGCTTATATACATTTGGAAAGCCTTCCAGTTTTAGGCAGCTGCATGCACCGGCGAGTTTCCTACAAGTTACATCAAAAGTAATCTAAAAGTAGTCTGAATGCGTAATCCAATAAATTACATTATAAACTACAATTTCTGTTGTGCAATCTGTAATCAGTAACAGACGACACTTTGTGACCCTGGAGCACAAAACCAGTCTTAAATCTCGAATGCGTGGAAGTTTCAGCAAGATCACTATCTCTCCTCGGTCTTTAAAAACGACTGACATTAATTTAGCGATCAAATTTAACTCATATTTTGTAATGATCATTCAAATCTGACTAATTTTCCAATTTTTTGTCATAATCAGCATCACAGGGAAATGTTATGGGGTTTCAAATCAGAATATGACTTTCTGTTATGAAACGACATTGATTTCATGTCCACTGTAGATTACTGTAGAGAAATTATATTTCAATATTCCTATGAAATATTAGATATTATTATGAAAATCTTGCCAATTATTACTCCCATTATTACACTTCTTTTTTCATCACATGTTGCCCCATGAACACATTAATATGCAAATTAGATACAGTGTATAGATACATAGTATATCATTGGAAAACCCATTTATGGCAATTTTACACACATACTGCATAAATGGTATATCAAATCATTCTGTTATATCTTGAGAATCATCTTTATACAAAGTTTGGTATTAAAAAAATCAATTGTTTTTGCCTATTCATGTTCATTCATTTCTTTTTATTTTAGCCCTGGTGTCCTCTACAGAGGACATAGCATAACATATGAATAAAATATAATTTTTTTCCAGAAAAATTCTTCTTATGCTCTAAACAATGTGATGACATGAAGAAATACCAAAACGTTTTTTTTCTGTCTCAGGAGGATACTATATTTATAATTGAAATGTTACAGTATTTAATTATATATTATAATATTTATTATAAAATCAACACATGCACAAAAAACGTGAATAATACTCAGATTAAGTCACAATATGGCAGCATGCTGTTACAAAACTCGATGTTTGCCTACATGTGCATTTATCAAGATCCATATTTTGCAGTGAATCAGAGACTGAGAACGGATACCAATTATTTTTGGTTTAAATATTGAAGAATAATTATTCAATACTTTAATGTTATGCTATTTTGCACAGTGCATACAAATTTAAATAATAACAATGATCAATATATAATGTTAATTATAACTTTATATGTACAGTATGTGTGTGTGTGTGTGCATTTTATATGTAAATATTATAAATAATATGTTATAATTAACATTGTATATTATGTATATAATGTTAATATATCACACACACACATATATATATATATATATAATGTTAATTATAACGTGTTATTTATAACCACATATATGCAGAAAAAACTAAATAATATTCAGATTAAATTTGATTAAATCACAATATGGTCTCATGTTGTTACAAAACAAATTGTTTGTTTGGCTATATTTATTAAGATCCATATTTTGCAGTGATAACATGCAAATGTAGTAAAGACTGGATACTGATTATTTTTTGTTTAATTGTTTGATAACCATTTTATATATATATATATATATATTTTTTTTTTTGCATATATAAAAATGCTGATTTGTTTCGACAGATTGATAAGAACACAGGGATGGTCATGAACCTGATCTGAAGGAATATATTGAGGTACAGCTGTCCCTACACCGTCTAATGTGTACTTAACAATACATTACATTAAACTGAATATATTAAAGTTAATATAACATGAATACTAATTTTATGTAAGTTAAAATCAACTTATTTTAAGTCACTGTCAGATTTGTTCTTTTTATTATTATTCATTTTTATTCATCGTTTTTTAATAATTATTTTTTTAGCTATAAATAAATTATAGAAATTAATACTTTTTTTTTTTAGCAAGGATGCTTTAAATTGATCAAAAGTGATGATAAAGACATTTATAATGTTACTGTACAAAAGATTTCTATTTCAGATAAATGCTGTTATTTTGAACCTGAAAAAATTATACTCGGCTGTTTTCAACATAATAATAATAATAATAATAATAATAATAATAATAATAATAATAATAATAATAATAATAATAATAATAATAATAATAATAATAATAATAATAATAATAATAATAATAATAATAATAATAATAATAATAATAATAATAATAATAATAATAATAATAATAATAATAATAATAATAATAATAATAATAATAATAATAATAATAATAATAATAATAATAATAATAATAATAATAATAATAATAATAATAATAATAATAATAATAATAATAATAATAATAATAATAATAATAATAATAATAATAATAATAATAATAATAATAATAATAATAATAATAATAATAATAATAATA